GGCTCGGAAACCTGCCGCTCCGGGGCCGCGTGCGGCTCTTCAAGAACTGCCTCGCGACGTACCATTTATTAGGGACCATCGTCTCGTCGTATTCATGTGCATCGCGGTTCCTGAAATATTGAGCGTTTTACCGAATTCGACCAACATGCCTCTGCTCGTTATGTCAGTTGTCGAGCCCTGTACATGAGACGCACCCATACACACAAAGCACACGTGATGCATACACAGCACTCACGGTACACATTTTACATCTGCCATGTACACAACACAATGCACGCACGTGTGATGTATATGCAGTGATGGATAATAAAGACAAAGATCCCCCGTATAGCCTGCGCAGACTGTTTGGGCAAGTGTTGTTTGCGAGCACCTATGAAGGCCGTAACGGTACACGAGGGGGTGGGGTGGTCAGCACCACGCCCGACCGCCTTTGTCTCCCTGGTGACGATGTTTACGCACCACACCAGGTACTCGTTTGAGTCGACCGAGGGGAGGCCTGGGATCGGTTCAGATAATCGTCACCGGTGTTGGCCGTGAGAGGGAATCGAACTCGGCTCACCGGGTTCATAACGCAGCGTAGCGCTAACCGCTACACCACCGCTCCCCACAGTAATAATAAACCAAACACACACTTGTAGACTGTATATATATGTGTGTGTGTCACTGCACCTACGGTTACCTCTATGAATTAAACACTTCCACTGTTTCAGCACGGAGATGCTGTCGCATGCAGACGCGATTACGGAGAACAGGAGGCTTGTTAAACCGGTAACAGCTAAACCGGTTCCAGAATAGGTAACTGCTACAGCTGCAGCAGCTACAGCAGCTACAGCTACAGCAGCTACAGCTTCAGCAGATGCAGCTGTAGCAGCTACTGCTGCAGCTGCTACAGCTACAGCAGCTACTGCTGCTACAGCTACAGCAGCTACTGCTGCTACAGCTACAGCAGCTACTGCTACAGCTACTGCTACAGCAGCTACAGCTGCTACAGCTACAGCTGCTGCCTCTCTTTCTCAGCCGGAAAATCGGTAACCTGCGCCTGAACCGGTTTTACTCATTCGGTTACCGATAATGCCAAAAAATTACGATGTTAAAACCTTCATATTTAAATCCGCGTTATGTTGCCGTGCAACAATAATACACAGTACACACAATACTTCATACAATGAACATTACACAGACATTGTACATAACCGCTGCTGAGCTTAAATAACAACATTTCACCGGGATGATCCCACGAGATGGGGGTAACATATCGTTCGCTGTGTGATACGCAGACACAATACACACATATACAAAGGACATCAATGTACATCAACAATGTGTACGGTACAATAGGGACCGTTTGATACGTACACACCCACACGTTCATACATAATGTTAAACACGCACGAAATTCGTACAAATGATATGTGCATGAGACACCACGCTTTGTGTATTCGTACTTAGCATGCTCTGAAAGTACATGCACAAATAAAAGACAGAGATCCCGGTATAGCCTCAACAGACTGTTGGGGCAAATGCGGTTAGCGGGCACCTATGAAGGCCGGAACGGCACACGAGGGGGTGGGTGGCCAGCACCACGCAGGACCGCCTTTGTCTCCCCAGTGGCGATGTTTACACACCGCAGCAGGTACTCATTTAAGGCTAAGTCGACCTAGGGGAGGCCCAGCACCGGTTCAGATAATCGTCACTGGTGTTGGCCGTGAGTGGAAATCGAACCCGGGTCGCCAGGTACATAGCGCAGCGCGCTGACCGCTACAATACCGCTCCCCACACAGGTACACACACACACAGGTACACACACACAGGTACACACACACACGCGCCCGGGTGTTCCTGATTTTCTGGTTCGGTCGCCCCGCGCCGCGCGCCCCCTCGCGCCCCCCCTCCCTCTCCGCGCGTGCCCCCCCCCCGCGCGCCCCCCCCCCCGCGCGCGCCTCGGTGCTCCCCCCGTGTTTGCCGAGCGCATTACCGCGGCGTGCGGCGCGCGTACCCCACGCGGCACGCATCCTGCATTGCCACCCGCGCGAGTCCGACGGGTGTATCGGGTGCACGTGTTGTGCGTGCGCGTGTACCTTGTGTGTACCTGTGTGTGTGTGTGTGCGTGTACCTGTGTGTGTGTACACCTGTGTGTGTACCTGTGTGTGTGTACCTGTGTGTGTGTACGTGTGTGTGTACCTGTGTGTGTGTACGTGTGTGTGTGTGTACCTGTGTGTGTGTGTGCGTGTACCTGTGTGTACGTGTGTGTGTACCTGTGTGTGTGTACGTGTGGGAGCGGTAGTGTAGCAGTTAGCATGCTGCGCTATGAACCCAGCGACCCGGGTTCGATTCCCCGCTCACGGCCAACACCGGTTACGATTATGTGAACCGGTCCTGAGCCTCCCCTAGGTCGACTCAGCCTCAAATGAGTATCTTGTGCGATGTGTAAACATTGCCACTAGGGAGACAAAGGCGGCCGGGCGTGGTGTTGGCCGCCCACCCCCTCGTGTGCCGTGCTGGCCTTCATAGGTGTTACTCGCTTACAACACTTACCCCAACAGTCTTATAAAGGCTATACGGGTGATCTTTGTATTTCGTGTGTGTATGTGCGCGTGTGTGTTTGTACGTGAATTTGTGTGAGCTCACGTCTGTGCGAGTTTAATTATGTGTGCGATTATGCGTGCGTTGGATTGCGTGTGCGAGTTTATGTTCGCACCAGCGAGCGTGAGAAGGGTGAAGGTGTGTGCGTGTGTGTTGCGACAAGGGTGTAGGTGTGTGTGTTTGGAGGTGTGTGTGTGTTGGGAGAAGGTGTGTGTGTGTGTGTTGGGAGAAGGTGTGTGTGTGTTGCGAAAAGGGTGTAGATGTGTGTGTGTGTTGGGAGAAGGTGTGTGTGTTGCCAGAAGGGTGTAGATGTGTGTGTGTTGAGAGAAGGTGTGTGTGTGTGTTGGGAGAAGGTGTGTGTGTGTGTGTGTTGGGAGGTGTGTGTGTGTGTGTTGGGAGAGTGTGTGTGTGTGTTGGGAGAAGGGTATAGATGTGTGTGTGTTGGGAGGTGTGTCTGTGTTGGGAGGTGTGTGTGTGTTTGTTGGGAGAAGGTGTGTGTGTGTTGCGAAAAGGGTGTAGATGTGTGTGTGTGTGTTGGGAGAAGGTGTGTGTGTTGCCAGAAGGGTGTAGATGTGTGTGTGTTGAAAGAAGGTGTGTGTGTGTGTTGGGAGGTGTGTGTGTGTGTTGGGAGGTGTGTGTGTGTTGGGAGAGTGTGTGTGTGTGTTGGGAGAAGGGTGTAGATGTGTCTGTGTTGGGAGGTGTGTGTGTGTGTGTGTTGGGAGGTGTGTGTGTGTGTGTGTGTTGGGAGGTGTGTGTGTGTTGGGAGGTGTGTGTGTGTGTGTGTTGGGAGGTGTGTGTGTGTTGGGAGGTGTGTGTGTGTGTGTGTTGGGAGGTGTGTGTGTGGGGAGCGGTAGTGTAGCGGTTAGCGCGCTGCACTACCAAGTCGGCAGAGGCCCGAGTTCAATTCTCGCTCACAGCCACCAACACGATTATCTGAACCAGTTCTGGGCCTCATCTCGGTCGACTCAGACTCAAATTAATACCTATATGGTTCGATGAACATCCCCACCAGGGAGACAAAGGCGGCCGGGCGTGACGTGGAGCTGCCCACTCATCCCGTCATGCGCCGTTCCGGCCTTCATAGGTGCTACTCGCTAACAGCACTTGCCCCAACAGTCTGTTAAGGTTATACGGGGGTTCTTTTTCTTTAACGCTGTAAGTGTGTTTTTGATTGTGAGATTCAAGAGTGCATGTGCGTTCGTGTGCGTGTGAGTTTAGTCTGTCTGTGAAGCTGAGTGTATGTGCTTCTGTGTGAGTCTAAGCGGCTGTATGTGTGTGAATTTAAGTGTGTGTGTGTCTGGGAAAATAATTGTCCGTGCGTATGTCAGTGTGTGCGTGCGCGCATGGAAGTGCGTGTGTGAGTTTACATTTCTGCGTTTGTCTTTTGTGTGTTAATTTGAGTGTCTGTGTGTGCGCGCGCGTGTGTGCGTGTCATTGTGCGACTTTAAGTATCCGTGTTTACGTGCGTGCGTGTGTTTGAAGTGTGTGCACGTCTGTGTGGATTTAAGTTCCGTGTTCATGTGGTTTGTGTGTGAATTGCGCTGTGCGTGTCAGTCAGATTGTGTGTGTTGAAATGTGTGTGTGATGTAGCGGCTAGCGCATTACGCGACGAATCTGATGACAAGAGTTCGAATTCCGCTCATTTCCAACACCAGTGACGATTATCTGTACCGGTCCTGGGTCTCCCCTAGGTCGACTCGGCCTCCAATGAGTACCTGGTGCGGTGTGTAAACATCGCTACTTGGGAGACAAAGGCGGCCGGGCGTGGTGCTGGCCACTCACCCCCTCGTGTGCTGTTCCGGCCTCCATAGGCGCTCGCTAACAGCACTTGCCCCTACAGTCTGCTAGGCTATATGGCAGATCTTTGCCTTTGTCTTACATGTGTGCGCAGCGGTGAGCGCGCTGCGCTACGAACCCGGCTACACGAGTTCGATTCCCGCTCACGACCTATGACAGTGGCGAATATTTAAACCGGTTCTGTGCCTCGCCTAGGTTGACTCAGCCTTAACCGAGTGCGGTTTATACATATCACCACAGGGGGATGAAATAGCGGTTGTCTGGCCGGGTATGGTTGAGACCACACCACCCCCTCGTGTGGCTGTGGCAACCTTCACAGTTGCCGCGACTCGCTCACAGCACTTACCCCCCAACCGTCTGTTAAAGGCTATCCGGGGGAGCTTTGTCTTTGTTACTGCAAATGTGCCGACGTGTCTAAGCGCGTGGTGCGGCGGCGAGGTTCGACACGTGCCCAGGTGAGAGGGACGGGTGAGAGAGAGGGGGGGTACGGATGAGAGAGGGGCATGGGAGTGATAGAGGGGCACGGGTGAGAGAGGCACGGGTGAGAGGGAGGGGGGCACGACTGTGAGAGGGGGGGGCACGGCTGTGAGAGAGGTGGGGGTCGCTCCTCGTCGACTCACCTTGTCGTTCTGGTAGGCGGTCACCGCGATGAAGTCCGTCTCGGAGAAGACGTAGGTGCGGAAGGTGGAGTAGGGCAGCTTGAGGATGTCGTTGGCGCGCACGATGTGGAAGCGCGGCTGGTACTTGTGCATGGAGTTGAGGATGGTCTGCGGGAGAGAGGGCCGCAACTGAGTGGCCACACACACACACACGGGCACACACACACACGCACACACACACGGCTCACTTCGCGCTCAGCTCGGCCAACGCGGCGCGACCGCGTACGCGACGCGACAACAGCAGCAGCAATAGCGGTGCACGCGACAAACACAATAGCAGTGCACGCGACAAACACAATAGCGGTGCACGCGACAAACACAATAGCGGTGGTCGCGACAAACACAGTAGCGGTGCACGCGACAAACACAATAGCGGTGCACGCGACAAACACAATAGCAGTGCACGCGACAAACACAATAGCGGTGGTCGCGACAAACACAATAGCGGTGCACGCGACAAACACAATAGCGGTGCACGCGACAAACACAATAGCGGTGCACGCGACAAACACAATAGCGGTGCACGCGACAAACACAGTAGCGGTGCACGCGACTTCACAGTAGCAATGTACGCGACTTCACAGTAGCAATGTACGCGACTTCGCAGCAGTGTACGCGACATCACAGTAGTAGTGTACGCGACATCACAGTAGTAGTGTACGCGACATCACAGTAGTAGTGTACGCGACATCACAGTAGTAGTGTACGCGACATCACAGTAGTAGTGTACGCGACATCACAGTAGTAGTGTACGCGACATCACAGTAGCAGTGTACGCGACAAAACAGGAGCAGTCGTAGTAGTGTACGCGGCTTCACGCGACAACACCAACCAGACACACGTGTGTGCTGTGTGTACTCTGTGTGTGTACACACACACAGAGTACACACACACGGCGGTGTCAAAGGGGAGCGTGCAGCAGCAGCGCTTCGCTACACAGGCGGCTGCGTGTGCACACACAGGCGGCGTGTGTGTGCACACACAGGCGGCTGCGTGTGTCTGTGCACACACAGGCGGCTGCGTGTGTGTGTGCACACAGGCGGCGTGTGTGTGCACACACAGGCGGCTGCGTGTGTGTGTGCACACAGGCGGCGCTGTGGCGGCACAGCCGAGCGCGTTACTTCGGTCCGCACGTCGCCGCTCACGCGTGGCGCAGTGTCGCGACCCCACGGGAATGAATCCCCTTTTCGGGGGTTCCAGGGACCCCCCCCGGCCATGCCTCCTCTATCGCTGTGTCAGCGAGGTGAGGGATGGTGCTCGGGAGGGGGCAGGGGGCGTTGGGCACCGCGGCTCCCCGCACACCCCACCCCGGTAGCTCTGGGCGCGTGTCCCCTAATCCTCCCCTAATGCTTTTTGACTGAAATCCGCGCGCGGCCGCGACTCGCGGGAGCCGCGCCCGCTGACGGGAGCTGGCAGGGGCTGGGGGGCTGGGGGCGGGGGGAGGGGGCGGGGGGAGGGGGCGGGGGGTGTCACCTGGGAAGCCAACAAGCCCCCCTCACCACCACCTTGTTCCCTCCCGCCGCTGCCTCCCCCTTCTCCCCCTCCCTCCCACGCATCCGTCAACTTCACACCGGGCCCCTTCCCATTCCTTCCCTCCCTGCTGCCCCCCACGCTGCCCCCCCCCCACCCTTAATTTTGAGTAAACGCCAAGGGCAGTCGAGCCCCGTGACGTCACGCGGCGTGACCCCCTTTGGGGTCGAAATCGCAAGGACACGGGGGTGCGTGGGGGGACACGGGGGAGGTTGACAGCGAGGGGGGTGGGGTCATCTGGGGGGGGGTCATCTGGGGGGGGGGGTGGGGTCATCTGGGGGGGGTCATCTGGGGGGGGGGCATCTGGGGGGGGGGGGTGATTGCGACTCAACGCAGCGACTCGGCTCACCTCGCTAGTCGACAACTCACGACTACAAAGACAAAGTTGCCCCGTGTAGCCCACACGGCCTGTTGGCGCAAGCGAGCACCGATGAAGGATGGTAGCGGTGCGCAAGGGGCTGCCGTGGATGGCACCGCGCCCGGCCGCCTTTGTCTCCCCGTCCCGATGTTTACACACCGTAAGCGGTACTCGCATGTGGCCGAGATGATATCATCCGCCATTGACATTGGCCGTGACCGAGAATAGAATTCGTAGCAACTGCTCCCATACGCGTTGTGTATGTGTGGGTAACGCGCACTTACACATCATAGCATGTGCCACAAACCACGAGCACGCAATGCAATATATAGAGACAAAGATCCCCCGTACAGCCTAAATAAACTGTAGGGGTAAGTAGCGTTAGAGAGTGGCAATGCATGCGAGGGGGTGGGTGGCCAGCACCGTGCCCGGACGCCTTTATCCTCCATAGTGGCGGTGTTCACACATCGCATCGAGTACTCATTTCAGGCTGGGTCGACCTAAGGGAAGCCCAGGAGCGGCCTAGATAATCGTCGTGTTGGCCGTGAGCGGGAATCGCGCCCGGGTCGCCAGGTTCGCAGCGCAGCGGAGCGCTAACCACTACACTACCGCTGCCCACACAATATATCCACACACCCATGCACATACACACTACAAAACCATGCCTTTATAACATAACATCTACAATTCGCAAATACAATGCACGCATACGGCTTGATACACACACGCCACGGATACACAACAGCACACACACACAATATCTAAATATTGCACAAATTGTACACACCTTGAAACGTATTTACACAAAACCGGCTCAAGCCAGTCAACACGCGCGCAACCTGCTATGAGACATAACCTGCGTGATGTATGCACAGTCAGCATCGCCGGCTCGTCCACTCGGAGCGTCGCTCACGGCAGAGCCCACGCCGAGAGGGCCACCTCGTTCACACAACATCACCATGAGTGACACACCACCACCACCACCTCGTTCACACAACATCACCATGAGTGACACACCACCACCACCACCTCGTTCACACAACAACACCATGGGTGACACAACACCACCACCACCACCTCGTTCACACGACATCACCATGGGTGACACAACACCACCACCACCACCACCTCGTTCACACAACAACACCATGGGTGACACACCACCACCTCGTTCACACGACATCACCATGGGTGACACACCACCACCACCTCGTTCACACAACAACACCATGGGTGACACACCACCACCACCTCGTTCACACAACATCACCATGGGTGACACAACACCACCACCACGTTCACACTCACACATCACCATGGGTGACACAACACCACCACCACGTTCACACTCACACAACATCACCATGGGTGACACAACACCACCACCACCTCGTTCACACTCACACAACATCACCATGGGTGACACAACACCACCACCACCTCGTTCACACTCACACAACATCACCATGGGTGACACAACACCACCACCACGTTCACACTCACACATCACCATGGGTGACACAACACCACCACCACGTTCACACTCACACAACATCACCATGGGTGACACAACACCACCACCACCTCGTTCACACTCACACAACATCACCATGGGTGACACAACACCACCACGTTCACACTCACAACATCACCATGGGTGACACAACACCACCACCACCACGTTCACACTCACACAACATCACCATGGGTGACACCACCACCACCACCATGGATATACAATACACACCACGGCCACACAGCTCGCTACAAACGCGTGTGCACGTTACACACAGACACATACCGACACACGCGTGTACACATACCAACGCGATCACCATCAGCCATGTTCAATCCACTGCTGGACGCAGGCTGCCCCCCCCACTAACGACCCTGCAAGTAACAATCCACCCAGCACGTGCACACGGCCTGATTCCATGACTCCATCTCCCATATGTCGACACGATCATCACGCCGATGCATACATACAGACTCCTCCGAAACCGACATTACACGTGCTTGCATACAGAACACACGCATTCTGAACACCTCGCATAGAATAACAAATAAATCATAGTTCTAATTTACAACCATCGCTGTAAATCCACTGCTGGATTAATACCACGCAGCAGAGTGAGGGGGCTGTGAAGCGGAGAGTATCCCAGGTGCGCTTCACGAGCCACTCGCCACTGATGTGAGCCGTGGTCGGCAATCGAACTCAGGTGCGGCAAGGATGCATAGCGCCCTCGCAGTGGTGCTCTAACCACTGCGCCACCGCTCCACCCCCGTATACACACACACCGCATTCTTCACACCCGTAGCCAAACACGCAGGATGACACACAGACCGACACACAGACAGACTGATACACGCAGACTCACAAACACACGGACTCACACAGACTCACAAACACACACACAGACTCACAAAACACACAGACCCACAAACACTCAGACCCACGTGTAAACATTTAGCAGACAGACGCGTAAACCAACACAAACACCCGGCTACACTCACAACTCAGAGGCACATTTCGCGCCCAGGTATGTATATATCTATATACAAAGGCAAATACAAAGATCACCCATATAGGCTAAACATACTATTGGGGCAAGTGCTTTAGCGAGCACATATGAAGGCCGGCACGGCACACGAGGGGTGGGTGGCCAGCACTACGCCCGGCCACCTTTGTCTCCCCAGTGGCGATGTTTGCATACCGTACCAGGTAATCATTTGAGGCGGAGTTAACCTAGGAGAGACCCAGGACCGGTTCAAATAGTCGTCACTGGTGTTGGCCGTGAGCGGGAATCGAATCTGGGTCGCTAGGTTCGTAGCGCAGCGCGCTAACTGCTACATTACCGCTGCCCACAATATATACACACACACTGTTACACACACACGGTATGTGCTTGCGTATGCATACATCCATGGCTAGAATTCAGCACGGGTCTGTCCAGAAAATGTTTCCACACCGGCACACCACATCCAGTACACCCCATGTCGCCATGGCCGCGGCGGCGCGGGACGCATCCAGTGAGAAACGAAGCCCCCCCCGTACGTGTGTGTGTGAGCGAGCGCACACACACACACACATATATATATGTGTGTGTGTGTGTGAGCGAGCGCGCACACACACATATATATGTGTGTGTGTGAGCGAGCGCACACACACACACACATATATATATGTGTGTGTGAGCGAGCGCACACACACACATATATATGTGTGTGTGTGAGCGAGGGC